GGACTTTGTCCTTTTTCTATCATAAGACATGGATATGCAGGTAAAAAGCAATCTCAAGGGTGAAGAAAACTATGAACATTTCAACGTGATTTGTTTATTCATACTTTCATTTAGTATTTGACTCTTAACATGCATCGTCTCCTTCTAGAAACTAATCAATAATTAAGAAACAAAAATCAAAGAAGCATGTCATGATTGTCATCCACATAGTGGGTACTTGAACCGCGTTAATGTATTTTAATTTCATTGATTAGTTTTTTTTTTTTTAATATGTGTAACCGTTAATAAATAATAACTCATTCCGCAAGGTTTGTTAACATATCTAAAAGATGATACTATTTTTAACATGTCAAACAAAGTAAGAAAATTTTAGGTGAAAATCGAAAACTAAAATGAGTGAAATGGTGTCTTATTTTTTTTTTTTGAACATTGTTAAAACGGCCGTGTTTTACTAGAATTTCAACCGTTAGAAATGGTTGATCCCTAAAGAGAAAAAGATTGGCAACTTTCGTGACTCGTGAGCGTCTAGACTGTGGATAGTCACTAGAATAATATAGAAGGCTATCGAAAGAATATTTATGGTTAGCTATAGACATGTTAGAAACCTACAAGAAGGCCCATCAAAATTGACAACAAAGTCCTTCAGTACTAGTAGAAAGCCCAAGCTGCTCATGATAAGAGCTTAGCTACTACTATCAAGAAGTACCTATAGAGTTTTGTGTTGTAATGTGTTAATGTTATATATTGATGTACAAACGTATACATAATGTTATAAGTACGAGAAGATTCTAAGAAAATTTGTCCATAGCAATATAGTAGAGAGAGAATTTAGAAGAAACTTCTAGAACATCTAAGAAAATATTCCAATAGTATAAATCCGAAAAGAAAAGAGATTTGAAACTATCCGAAGATGAAGTAATCGATGAGATAAGTGATCTCTTCGAGATAAAAAATCGTTTATGCAATTAATAGAGGCATTTACGGTTGATCACCATTTTAATCTTTAACATCATAACCATAAAGGTAAACCTGTAAAAAAAAAAAATTTAATGATCTTATACTTCAAATTTAAGAAAATAAATAAGATTTAACTCTATCAAAAAATAAAACAAACTTTGTAGAAGCAATTGTAAAGAGCTTAAGATCACAAATGCCAGTGAATATTAACAGCATCATTCCATGATTCATGATGAAATTCTTGATCCAAATTACAACCTCATTAATAATCTTTATCCAATAACAAGATTCATACACATCTTTATTGTTTCTTGTGCTCATTAATGGTGAACATATGTTCTTCAATACAAGGTTCAAGGTATCAGCCACACATGGAGTCTGAAAGATAGTAGAAAACTTGGTTGAAATAAGTGCGCCAGCTTTTACACAATTCAAAGCGTTGTCGATAACTATCTAAACGACATTTTCATGTCCAACTTTTTGTATGCAACTTATGATCAGCTCTGCAATCATCTCACCAGTTTTTGTTTCACCTTGCTATTGATTGCCTAACATCAATTGACCACTCTCATTTGCATCACTACATATACTAACTCCTTTTCGTTTACATGTGTTCTTCAAAGGTTGTAATTGCATGTTAAGGTTCTTTCTTTACTTCTGAAGAAGTGTAGTTCTCAATGAATCCTAGAATTTGTGATGCACGGACATATGAGTTAAGGTATTGAGGATTTCTGGAAAGGTTAAAAGACAAAACACATGTGTAGAATATTCTAACTACCTCACCATCACATTACTTCCTAGTCTCACTATGAAATGCTTTTTTCTAAACGACTCATTCCCTTTCTCTTTTTGGATCATACTCACTTGCATTAGATGTGTTCCTTAATGATGAAGACAGTAGAACTGTTTTATGAGAAGAACTAGATGTGTTCCTTGATGACGAAGGCAATGAAACTGTTTTATGAGTCGCGCATTATATCGGACCCGGTTATATCCCCTCTTTGCAATCATTAACTATTTTTTTTTCATATTAGCTCTTTGTTAAAGAGTAACTTTCAAACATCTTTTGATTATGTTGGGATCGTATACTCGAATCGAACCTCACAAATCACTCAATCGCACTCGTGTG